TCTTTTTTATTGATTTTATTGAGAAACAAATAGCAATGAGACTGTTTCAAAACAGGTGAGTAGGACAGTTACAATACTTAATACATTGCATATTGTTGTCTTTGTAGTAGTTATTCATAGTACAAGATGCAGACATGATATCCTGTCCAAATACTGTTAGTACAAATCTTTCTTCTCACTGAGTTAAGAGAAAGTAGCTGTATATTTATCTTGGTCTTAACCAGCTAATAGAAAAGTATAAAAACAAGGTATAAAAAGTAAAGTCATACTAATACGCTGAGCTGTAAAACGCTCAAGTCAACAATGCCTGGCATTGCCAGGTCTACAGAAAACCCATTACTATTATGGACTACTGGACTGTATTGGATTATTTTGCTGATTTAATGCACCTACAATATTTAAATGGCAATGGAATACCCATCTCTGACAAAACTAAACAAAAAATGGGGATATAAATGAAGGACCATTTTGTATATATTTTCTCCCTTTAAAATGAAAAAAATCCATTCACTGGCAGCACTGCACTTTCTCCAACCTGTGTGTATAATGGTTTGCTTTTCTTACCCTTCAAGCTTGTTTTTTCCTCCTACTTCCTTACTCATCCTACGTCACACAAACTTCCTGCTTACACAGTTCTCTCACATCTTCTATTATTTTAAGAGTTGGCCTGTGTCAGCTTTTCTGACTCTCCTAGGCAGGAAGAACCTCTCACCCAGTGTACTACACTACCATTGCCTCCTAGAGACTACCGTCATGCTACCTATTAAGTATTGGTGTCTCATATTAGACTTGGCATTCCTCAAGGGCAGGGGTGGTACCTTATATGTGCATCCCCACATTGAGCAGAGGGTGGACACAATATGAAGATCCAACAATTGTGAAGTAATACAGTGGGTTTCCTCCCTTGCTGAAATTTCATCTTATATAGATAAAATCCCATGGGAAAGTAGCATATAGAAGCCCCAAGGTATGAGCCACAGTCTATGAGGCACCAACATTTAAACCTAAAAAGATGTAGGATCAGCCTAGGCTTGGTTTTAAATGTATTCTGATGTTTGAGATTTGTGTTAGTTTCATAGATAAATACATAGATTTTGCTCCAGATAACAGTTTAATAATTGTGGTGTGCTAAAACCTGGTAAAGGAAGGAGAACAAAATGAATAATCCAAGCCCTTGTTCCACAGAAATTTGCAATGTTTCATTCCAATGAGATATGGGGGAGGGGAGAGAGAGAGAGAGAGAGAGAGAGAGAGAGAG